CCTCTTGAGAACTTTAATATATTCTCAATCTCCTGTGGAGCCTGCTAGATGTTCAAGCTCCACCACTTCTCTCTCCAGAGCTCTCATAGACTGGGTCATGTCCTTTGTAACATTGAGAGTGTACTGTAGATAAAGCTGTTTAATTTTAACTTTGCCCACATCCCACCACTGCTGCAAAGAGCTGTACTCAGCCTTTGTTTGTCTATAACTCTTCCAAAAAAACTTGAATAATTCCTTTAAAAAATTATCTTCTAAAAGTGCGACATTAAAATGCCAATAAGCACTTTTACATTTATCATTTTTTATAGAAACTGAACACAGAACAAGAGAATGATCTGATATACCTACTGGACTGATGGAACAGTTTTTAAAAACGTTAACGTGGTGTTTGAAACAATACACCCGATCAAGTCTCGCCAAAGACAAGTTATCTTTGGAGTGAACCCAGGTGTACTGTTGCCGATCTCTATGTAAATACCTCCAGACATCACAAAGTTCAAAGGTTTCTACAAGCTAAATGAGTTCGCTTTTTGATGCAGTGTGTGGTTCCTGATGGTTTCTGTCCAAAGCAGGATTCTCTGTGCAGTTAAAATCACCACCCAGAAACAGATGCTCTTCATTGCTACATTTACCCAGAACATTTTTTAAAACATCAAAAAACAACAGCCTCTCTGATCCCAGAGTAGGAGCATAAACATTTATGAAAACCATTTTTATTCTCTCAAATTCAGCACTAAGTTTTAACAAACAACTAGGAACAACTTCATCAACAGAAACAGAACAAGGCAGGAAATCTCTGGAGAAGAGAATTCCAACTCCTCCACTGCTGCTGCTCTTATGACTCAGAAAAACCTCTCCAGACCACTCCCTCTTACAGACACATTCCATATCTGAGGTACTGTGGGTCTCTTGGAGGAAAACAACATTAAACTTTTTATTTTTAAACAGGGTAAACAAATAAGCTCTTTTAGCATCCTCTTGAGCACCACTGATGTTTAAAGAACCCAGCTTCACTTCACACATGATAATATTAAAGCTGCATTCTAACAACAACAAAAGAAAAAAGAGAAACAGGGATGGAACAAGCTTATTCATCACTGACTATTTGTGTTCGAACCTTCAGTTTTTTCACCTCAGAACAATTTCTTAAGCTGGAAAATTTCCGGATCAGTGAAAGAAGGCTGCCCAAATTTACCAGCGTTTTTCATAAAGAACCTGAATGAATCATGAAAAAGTTCCAAAAAAAAAAAAAAACTTCCACTTTCACTGCTCTCATCCCTTTTGTTTCTCTGAGAACAGATCGTACACTCTGAAAAGAGGAGCCACTCTGCGCTTCGACGTCCATATTATTGTTTTCTTCATTGCTCTCCTGAGTGCACTGTGTGTTCTCCTGAGAGGGAGTACACACTGATTCTTTCTTTGACAGCCTCTTTGTTTTAACATTGTGAGCTTTAGCTTCTGAACTCTTTCGTTTAGCAGATAACTTAAGCAAATCATAATCATCATCCATGACATATTCATCATCTAGGACAGACTGCCACTTCGGTTGCATTCTGTCCTATCTGTTCCGTAAACTCATCAGGCTGACTCTGAGAGAGATCCACTTCTCCAACCTGAGCAACACTAGCATCAAAACTGGCACTAGCTGCCCCGTCTTCACTGTTCTGTGTGTTCTGTGCGTCTGCTGCGTCTGCGGCGTCTTTCTGTGTGTCTGCTGCGTCTTTCTGTGCGTTTGAAACATTATTTTCTGCATCAGTCTGCATGTTCTGAGCATCACTCTGCCTGTTCTGTGTATCAGTGTGTGCGTCGGTGTGTGTGTCACTTTGCACTGAAGGCTGACCGTCAGGAGGCTCGCCTGCAGAGCCAGCAGCCTGACGGTCCCTCTTTCGCTCTGGGCACGAGCGGACCAGATGTCCCTCCAATCCACAACCAAAGCATTTCAGACTGTCAGAGGACACATACACAGTGTAATCAAAGCCATCAATCCGAAAATGTAAGGCCAAATTCAGCTCCTCATTGTTGTTCTTTAAGATCATAAACACTTGTCTTCTGAAAGACATGACGTGTTTAAGGTGCGGAGACTTACACCCGAGGGGGATCAGTTTAATGGGTGACATCAGCTGCCCGTGTCGGGCCAGCTCTCGCTCTAACAGATCGTTTTTTAAAAAGGTGGGGGGACATCAGAAATAATCACCTTCTTAGTGGGGCTGACAAGAGAAAACACCGGAGTCAGTGTTCCTTGGATCACAACTCAACTCTCAAGCACCTGATTCACTTTATCAACATCATCAAGAAAAATAACAACCGCACTGTTCATCCGTGAGGCAGACTTCACACCATCATATCCCATTACCTCACCTACAGCCAAACCACACTCCTCAACCGAAACACCCACACCTGGAGAGAGTTTCACGGCGTGCCAGCGAGTCAGCGTCTCCAAGCTATTTGCCATGTTCAGTCGTGTGGCTGCGGCGGCAGCCGCCACACAAGCAAAGAAAACCTACTCAAACAGAAACCAAAAAGAGAAGTTAAGCACAAACACATTAACAGCCAGTAACAGAGAAAAACCAAAAAGGTTTGAAAATACACAAAAACTTCTAACAAACGCTTTCTGAAGCACTCGCCCTGTCACTCCCAGCATTCACTCAGAGAGAGAGAGAGAGAGAGAGAGAGAGAGAGAGAGAGAGAGAGAGAGAGAGAGAGAGAGAGAGAGAAATGAGGGCAGGGGCGGAGGCTGCAGGGTCATGACAGTGCTGTTTTTTGTTGCCTCACACTTGAGCTTCTAATCCTGCTCCATGACATAGAGTATGGCTATGATTCCCTGACTAGTGCTGCCAAAGGTTAGTCCTCTTGAGTCTTCTGTGGGTCATCATCCACTTCTGTTTCCATCCCAGAAAGTGACCTAGCTAGTGCTTCAGTCCAAATGCACTTGTACTGCATGGGGGGGCTAACATGAGTATGCTGGCCATGCTAGTACTGGGATGTTTTCAGCTTCCAGGAATTGTGTGCAGATCCTTGCAACAAGGGCCATGCATTATCATGCTGCAACATGAGGTGATGGTCGTGGATGAATGGCACAACAATGGGCCACAGGATCTTGTTGCAGCAGTTGTCCGGATGGCTGGTCTCAGATGATCTTGGAGATGAAGATGCTGGATGTGGAGATCCTGGGCTGTTGTGGTTATGCATGGTCTGCGGTTTTAAGGCCAGTTGGATGCACTGCCAAATTCTCAGAAACACCTTTGGAGATGGCTCATGGTAGAGAAATGAACATTCAGTTCACGAGCAACAGCTCTGGTGAACATTCCTGCAGTCAGCATGCCAATTGCATGCTCCCTCAAAACCTGCAACATCTGTGGCATTGTGCTGTGTGATAAAACTGCACATTTTAGAGTGGCCTTTTATTGTGGCCAGCTTGAGGCACACCTGTACAATAATCATGCTGTCTCATCAACATCTTGATATGCCACACCTGTGAAGTGAATGGATTATTTCAGCAAAGGAGAAGTGCTCACTAACACAGATTTAGACAAATTTGTGAACAATATTTGAGAGAAATAGGTATTTTGTGTACATAGAAAACATCTCAGATCTTTGACTTCAGCTCATAAAAAATGGGAGCAAAAACCAAAGTGTCGCATTTATATTTTTGTTCAGTGTAATACAGTGGTGCACATTCAGTACCTAGCCTCTTCCGAGATGTTCTGCAATTACCTGCCACAATCTACCTTTATATTCTGTATCTCTATTCTTTACATTGTAATGTGCTTTGTTCTGTGAGACCAAATAAATTATTTTCTCGGATGCTATTTTCAATCATGATATTTGCATGTAATGTGGTTCTGAGTGGAAAACAACTCTCTAAACCCGTTTGACTGATGCATTAAAAAACAAAACACACATAGAAAATGAGACATTTTCTGAAAGCTTAAGTGACTGATGAAAGTTTTGGAGGGAAATATGGTGCAGTGGCTAGCACTGTTGCCTCACAGCCAAAAAGTCCTGGGTTCAAATCACAGCTGGGGCTTTCTGTTTGAAGTTTTAACGGCCTCTCGAAGCCTGTATGGGTGTGTCCAAAGACAGCTTAGGTCAACTGGTGATTCTAAATTAGTTAACTAAGTTATAAGTACTTTATTAGAAGTAAACTATTCACTTATTCTTTTGAAATAACTGTAATAAACTTGCAATATAGGTTTTCTGTATTCCAAACACAGCTAAAGGTGGCGCTGAGTAGGATTGGCTGTAATCCAGCTGTATCACAGAACACCTGGTCAGTGATCTACAAGGTTATTTTAACTTAGCCTCTCTACGAACCAGTGTGCTTGTGCCTGTCTCCACACTAGACATCTTGCATTCTATTTTTTCTGTTATTGTTTGGTTTTGTTTTGAACTTGCAGCACTCATTTATTGTTTCTTTACAATACTGACTCTGAGCTCACATTTCATACTTAATACTTATTTGAATCATTGACTTTGATAAGTATTTGCTAATTATTGTTTAGTTGGTAGTACATCTTCCTTCTTTGTAAGTAGAACTGGTGCTATTTTAAAGACAAAGTGTGGTGACAGTAAACAATCACATTTTGTTTTTACCGCACGTTATATTACAGTATTCTTTCAACTTTCAGAGAATTAAAAATGAGAAAAAGTGTCAACAGTATTATTCTAAGGGGATAGCAATAGTGGGAAGTGTGAGAGAGTGGTGGTGTCATTCGAGGCACCTGGTACTTTGATGGTACTTTGGCGCAACTTAAACTAAGAACAGCAATTCAAACCAAATCAACATTCAAATAAAAAAGAGGAAAGAGCTAGACAAGGATAGAGAGCAGAAAGAGCAGAGAGAGAGAGACAGAGAGAGAGAGAGAGAGAGAGAGAGAGAGAGAGAGAGAGACGTGAAGAGATAGGAGAGACAAGAAACTTAATTGCTTAATTGGAGTCACTGCATTTACATTATGAGATACCCTTGTTTTTGTAGTCCAACCAAATTTTTCTCCCACTAACTGTTCTTCCACCGTACCAGCTGGCCAGATCCTAGAGATATTTTCATAGTGAGGTAAGCTGATTTTATTCCGAAATTAAACAAATGTGCGAATGATGCAGGAAAGAGATAATGGTTTGATTTGTAATGACACATTCACATATGCAAGGGGTACATGAGGAGGTCATGCTCCACACTGAAGTGTAGCTGTAAAAATTAAGATTTTTCTAGGGAACATTTTATGTAGATACATGTACAAAAAAAAAAATTTCTTGTCTTGAGAATCATTGTAAAATGTGTACAGGCGTAATTATTCATTATTACTGTTTTAGTAGCTACCAACAGTAATCGTCTTTTGTTGGGGACAGACAGAAAAGACAAGAAAAATACATTTTTAAGAGAACAGAATAGAAACTGATATCTATTGATATTGCATACGGACTTTGTAAACAGCACAGTGACGATGTCCATTGAGAACAGAACAGAGAACAGAGACGATGTCCATTGAGAACAGTTGTCATAGACAGTCTGTTTGGCTGGTTACTCTGGTATCTAGAGTAACTTGGATGTTCTTTTCTGGAAATAGTTATTGCTGTTGCGTATTTTGAAACATTTCTTTATTAATTGTTCCATGCTCTTTTGATGTATTTGGGTGACAAAAGAAATCCCCGACAAAATTTTAAAAGCCTAAACAAATAATCATCACCTGTATGTAACGGTACCTTGGATCAAATTAACTGAAGATAAGAGACTTTTATTATTAAATATTTTTGCCTGACATGACAAACATATTGTAACAAGTTCATTGTCTATAAAATGAACGGATTTAATCTTACAGAAGTTGTCTTATGTAAATTTATTGTAGTGTTACAGTAACATTGCTAAGCTATTAAAATCACAAGACTAGTATCCTTCCAGAACCCAAATCCATCCGAAAGAATCTAGGATTCAGATAGAATACAGTCGGCATTGTGTGGGTGATTTGAACTGATGGGACCAATCAGGAAAAATCTAATTTTCCAAAAGTCATACAGTTAGGGACATGCTTCCTTGACAACCACCAACAAAAAAGCCAAGCCTTAGTTTTGGAAAGGGAGTAACTGTTTTCACGTGTGATCAGATGGGCTCAGTCATTACCCATAACGAGGGTCTGTATAGCTTCTCAGTCCAGGGATACTGTCCCACCCAGAAGTAAAAACTGGATGCATTCCATTCCTGCTCACCACATTAACGCACAAAGAGACCTGTGTTGCATTCACCAGCCTCTTCACCGTAAATTTGATAAATGAATTACTTGTTCCACTAATGTGAGACAGGTTGGACATCATGTGAAGGAAATGTAAAGCGAGATAAGAAAAGGCACATGTTGTGTCAAACATAATGTATTGCATTGTGCCAGTTTGTGGTTGTGTACTGTGTGTATGTCAGTGTTTTTGCCTGCCCAAAGTCCAAAGAGTAGTTTGTAAGTAAAAATTAATGCTTTGTGTGGAACAATGATTGCTGCCTACTGCTTTGCTGGTGACTCTGACAGGATGTTGAAATAGTGCTGCTTTAATCTAAATACGAAAATGTGCTGACATGCTCATGACAATTTCAACATGATGATGTCATAATGTTTGCAACATTGACAATCTCAAAGTGGTGTTTAGCGTTTTGCACGTATAAGCTAACATTTTCTAGTACCATTAAACACAAAGCACAGTAGAGACTGGGTATGTCAGTACTTTTGGGGAGCATGTTGTTGTATACCAAACTACTGAACCCATACAGATTTTGATATGAAATGACAACTGTTGTGGTGCCAAAGAAAAGAGCAAGCAGAAAAGCAGAAGCACCATTGTCCAGCCAGAGCCATGAACCAACAGTTGCACAAGATGCTCTGTCCCTGAGGCCATGCTAAGACTGATATTATTTTTCTTTATTTGCACTCAAATACTGTATCTGTTCTGTTCTGTGTAGTCATTGCTACTTAGATGCTGAAAACAGGCAATCAGATTGATAGGCTGAGCTCATGTCCTTGGTTGATAAATCACACTGTTTGTACCTATATAGCTCTTGAGTGTGGTTTCTGTGCTGTCATAAAGATGGCTTGTTATTTCTTGTGTGCCAATGACATTTGTTAACCATGTGTGCCTGCTGGATATATACATATATCCAGCAATGTGAAATGTATTGGTAGTTGGTTCTTTTTATCTGTTTTTCTCATGCTTGTAAAAATTACCTGGCATCGCAGCTGATTCTCTCTATTTCTCCTACTTCTATTCTGTCAAGCTTCCTCCATTTTAACAGGATGACCCTTCTCAACTACCCTGTTCCAGAGTTGGATGTTACCTTGCAAGAGGTGGGCCGTGTTCTACAGCTCACTTTGAGTCCTGATCTTTATCCAGAGTTTAAAAGTATGCTGGAACAGCAAAGAGAGCACCTTGAAGAGGCCCAGCAGAAATTAGCAAGCAGTGTTGCAGGCCAAGAGAATTGGGTCACAATGCAGTTCAAGAGAAGTCTGTTATCTTGTGCGGACCCCCTGCCTACATCAACTGCCCTCCCTGTTGTTCTTCTTCCATCTAAAGCAAAGAGATGTACCCAGCTGGGAAGGGCAGCGGCTCTGCTCTGGGCTGCAGCAAAGCTGTACAGTGAGCCCTTCTTGCTGGAGGGCAGTGTTCTCATAGAGCACACACAGCAGTCTGAAGTGTTTGCTGCCAGCCGTATTCCTGGCAGGAGTCAAGATGAAATTAAGGTATGTTTACTGACGAGACAGAACTAGTAAGAATAGTTAAGGTGTCTAAGTTTTCTAGTGGAATGTTTAAATATTCAAGTGAATCTTGAATTAGCTTATCCCTGATCTACTACACAAGGGGTCGGCAACCCGTGGCTCTTTCGTACCACTGCTGCGGTTCCTTGTGGCTTTGGAAAATAAATAATGAGTATTTAAATTAATTTAATTTAGTTCGTTCATTTTTCAAAATGTAATTCTAAATTTGAAGATTATGGTGGTCTTGTAGTATTAAAATTAAATATGTTTAATTTTTTTGTCACTCAAAATATATGTCACAACTGCCAATGTGCGACACCTACCGGCACACGCAGTGTTGCCAACTTGACGACTTTCTTGTTAAATCTGACAACTTTCGAAATCCTCTCGGTGACGTTTTTTTTTTTTTTTTTTCCCAAAAATGACTACAAATCTAGCAACTCTTTCTGGTGCTATTGGAGGTGTTTTGGAGACTCTGACGTGAAAACACCTATTGTTCTGCAGTTACTGTCTTCAACGAGCAGTGGTGCTACCATGAGCTCCTCCCTGTCCCAAAGCGCTCACAGGCAGTCAGGAGTCTGGTCAGCAATCCCAGCTGCAGTCAGTTGGCCAACCAGACATCATTTTTACTTTGCTGCAGGTGGATAATTTAAGTTTGGCTTTTTATTTCATAAATATGAGGAGGATTCAAACACACATAGAGTATTTTATTTGAAAGCAACCTTCAACTCAGCGTCTTTTTAAAAAAAAAAATGTTTTTGTTGCATGCAGAAATAAAATTTTGTTTTCTCTGTAGCAGTTCATTGATTTTAAAATGCAATACTCTATAGTTGTTAGACAGAGCATACCAGTAAAAAGGATATATACAGTGTTGTCTTCATTGTAGACGTCAAAAGGGTTTTGTGGCTCCTAGTCTTTTCTTTTCTGTGGGAAATGGGTCCAAATGGCTTTTTGAGTGTTTAAGGTTGCCGACCCCTGTATTATACCATCATATTCATATCGTATTTTGAACACTTTCATATCTGTAGTTTTCTTGTTTCCAGGTCTACCCAGACAGCCTTCATGCCATTATTACCTGTGCTGGAGGAGTGTTTCCTGTTAATATACTGTGGCGTCCCAACACTGGAGGGCCAGTTTCCGCACGATCATTTATTGACATCTACAGCCAGCTGGCTCAGGTAATGGCTCAGCCCAGTGCAGGAAAACAGAATAATCCCTGTGCCATTTGTAGCTTCTCAGCTCTGGAGCGCAAAGCCTGGGCTGCCATCAGGGATGAAATCCTCGGGCAAGGGGGAGCAGCAGTGACATCACTGGGGCTAATGGAGAGTGCTGTGCTTACACTCTGTCTGGAAGACTGCAACGCACCCTCTGAACTGGCTGATACCCTCAATGCAGTGAGGCTGGGAGCAGGAGGAGACAGTCCATTTCTGAGATACTATGACAAGGTATTGGACAGAATCTGGATGAGGTTTTTAAAACAAGATCAGATCAACTCTGTCAACGCTCTCCCACTCTCTCATGCTACTTCCCTTTATGTTGCTTTATATAACAACAACAAACAGCAACAACAACAATAACAATAGTAATAATAATAATAAAACCATGCTGCATGGTGTGACTGGTGTGAATGTGAGTGTGCTTGTTTGTCTCTCTGTGTAGTCCTGTGAAATACTTGTGACCTGTCCAGGGTATCCCCTGCCTTCACCCTGAGTTGGCTGAGATGAGTGTGAAATAACCCAGATGTATATCTTGCATAAATTTAAATTGTTCACAGAGGCATAGTAATTTGGATTCAAGTTCATAAATATGAGTGGACAGGGGGGCAAATGTGAACAAGCATTCTCAATGTGACAGCTATTTAATTTCATTTTAATGACTAGTAGCCTGTATTATTTTCTCTTTTTTTCATTCTGGTAATGAAGTCTTGTTTTTTCTGGGTTGTTAGATTTATAAAGTCTGCATGAAATGTACAGGGCAAAGAATCTAAGATATACTTTTAGTAGTCCTTCTTTGGAACATTGTTTTACCTCAGTAGACACATCTCAACAACTGCCTTTGCGTAATTATGTACCTATATAAGTGTAGTCAGTTTCTGTTCTCACTTCTATTCTCACTGTACTATGTATCTAGTTCATTATAGATTTTCCTTTACATCTTGCCTTGTTGGACAATAAAAGGCTGAGATAAAATATTTAGGTATCTGAAAAAATTTGAATGAAGAAATGTATTCACAAACACTTGAATTTATCAGTAACTTGTCAGTGCTGTTTGGGATGGGCAAAGTTGAAAATGTTTTTGCTGGTTGTCAGTGGACTGAAAACCCAATATAATCTGTATTTTTCTGTTGACAGGTAATGAACCTGGTGGTGTACAAAGACAGCACAGCTGGGATGGTGTTTGAGCACAGTGCTGTGGATGGGATGGTGGCTGGGCTTGTGACTGAACGTGTGTACCAGCTCTCTGAGACTGTTGACTTAAAACAAGCCTATACTGACACGAAACATATGACTGGATCTGTCACAGTAAACAATCCTAATTCTGTTTTCCCTGGTTCCCTAACCTTTCCCTTGAAAGGAGTAAATACCCTCCAACAGAGCCCTGACTTAAGGGTAAAACATCCAATTCTCACCTTTGATATGTCTTCCTATCCTGATGTCTTTTCTACTCTCAGAGGGCAGAGGGGCCTGTTTGATGCTTGGATTAACTTCTCTTTGCAGCTTTCTTTGTGGCAGACTCTTGGGGAATCTGCTGCCAGTCACTTGATAGTCACACCTACCCATATGCGACACTACAAACATGGTCGCTGTGATCCTACATACTCACTCACCATGCATTCTCGTAACTTAGTAGATGCCTTGGCATCCCGTGTTAGTTCAGATAACACAATTGAAAACACTACTGACCTACTACAACTGTTCCATGTTGCGTTTTTGGAGCATAAGAGGCTCATTAGAAACACCAAAAGTGGTCAAGGTGTTGGCCCACACCTTGCTGCCCTGCGACAGTCTTTGCCATCCAACAGTTCACTAAGGAAGTTTCTGGACCCCTTTGGATGTCCTTCTGTGTACCTCACTGGTACAGATCTGATGGAGGGTGTGGAGTGTGGAGTAGGGAATGTTTATGCCCAAGACCAGCTAGCTGTGACCTACCTTGGGAAGAAAGACAAGGTTCGCATTGTGCTTAATGGGAAAGGAAGCTTTGCTTTAGCACTGGACAAGCTTCAGGAAAACTTCAAGATCACCCTGAAATTCGTGATGCAGCTAGCTGTTAGATATGCCATTGCAAACCAAATGGGAGCCCTGGAATGTCTGCTCCAACAGGGTCAAACTGAGAAAGTAAATGGAGTGAAGGTTAACTGCCCAGACATGCCAAATAATTGCAAAAGTACTGTTGGTACTACCTGTGGCATGAGCCCAGACTACACACTAGTAATTCATGGTGGTGCTGGAGAGAAGATAATGCTGAACACTCAAGTGACAGGGATTATTGAGTTTGCTCTACAAACAGCCTTGACACTCGGGTCCCAAGAACTTCAACAAGGTGGCAAAAGTCTGGATGCAGTTCAGAGATCAGTGGAAGCTCTGGAGGACTGCTTCCTTTTCAATGCAGGTAAAGGTTCAGTATTTAACAAAGACGGCAAAAATGAAATGGAAGCCACCATTGTAGATGGTAGTTCAAAGAGGTCAGGATCTGTTGCTTGTGTGAAAAGTGTAAAAAACCCAATAAAAGCAGCCAGGTGTGTCATGGAGGAAAGCTCGCATTCACTTATTGTGGGAGATGGGGCTGAAGAGTTTCTGCAAGGATTAGAAGAGAAGGAGAAGCTTGTTGACCCTGAGTATTTCTACACTGATATACGACACAGAGAGTTAATTGCAAACCTCAGTGGTAGGAATAAGTCAAAAAATAATCACCCGCAGACTGTTGGAGCTGTGGCCTTGGATCGTTGGCATGGGTTGGCTGCTGCATCCTCCACAGGCGGGTTGGTAGGAAAACTGAAAGGAAGAGTTGGGGATACAGCAATAGTAGGGGCAGGAATTTATGCTGATGACAAGATAGCTATTACTTGCTCTGGAGATGGAGATGTTTTTCTGAGAAACACAGTTGCACAAAAAATTGCCAGTCTATACCATAACAAAGGCTATGGACTTCGGCAGGCATGTAGAGAGGTAATGGCTGAACATTTGAATGGGATCTGTGCAGGAATTATCTCTGTGAACACTGACGGTAATGCCATCATTGAAGCAAATGCTGGCGTGTTTTTTGTGGCATCAATGGTTAGTGGTATTTCCCGTGTAGAGGTCCTCAGACCCCTTAAGAGCTTCTCTAATATAATCTGGGAAACAGATGAGCTGGTTGCCTACCTGAATCCCAACCCCTGGATTCCTGGGTCCACCATTTTGACTAGAAAAACTCATAACAAGGCAAGCAGCATCTTCCATTTTGACATGTCAGATTTCATTGCTATGTTACAAGGAGCAAGAGCTGTGTCAAATTTGCTTTGTGAGCAACTAGGAGTGCAGCGTTGTGCCTTGGTTTTTAATCCAACCCCTGATCAGCCAACACAAATCATTCTCCTCCCACTTCATGGCTTAAAGCCGAAGTGGCAGCCCCATCTTGCTGGTGAAGAGGAATTTCATGCTTACAATCCTGGTTATTGCACTTCAAAAAGTGGTCCACGCTGGAATGATGAAGCACTGGCTCAAATTCAAGCCAAGATTAGAGAAGCACTGCCAACACTTAATGCACCTTTTTGTTTTGACTTTTTTGGGAAACCTTCTGATGATGACTTGTTCAGCCGTATTGTACGTGGAGAGCAGCAACAGTGGAGAGTGTGGGAAGACAGTGAGCATGTGGCATTCCTAACACCGTACCCAAATAGTCCTGGACTAACTGTTGTGGTGCCACGCAAACCACTGCTCAGTGACATCTTTAAACTGGATGAACCTGACTACATCGCACTAATCTTAGCCACTTACAAAGTTGCCCGATTACTGGAAGAGGGGATGAAAACTCCAAGTGTTGCACTAATCTTTGAAGGCTTTGAGATTGATTATGCTCATGCCAAGCTGATCCCTTTGTTACCTTCACCAGATGGCACTAAACCTGATGAGGTGCAATCAGAATGCTTCCAAAGCTATCCTGGATATGTGTCATCACTAGATGGCCCAGCTGCTGACTTCGAAGCCCTCAAAAACATCCACTTAAAAATTACCCAGTGCAAGCCTCCTCATTCATGGTTAGACCCTCAGTCTCACTCCAGTCTTGCCATCAAGAGCCAGTGGTATCGCAACCTGTTCCAAATTCAAAACACACTTTTCCACTGCACAGTGGAATATTTCCACAATTCCTGCAAGTACTCCTATGCTTTAACTCCTCTCACCACGGACACCATCTCCTCACCGATGGGCCTGGGATCTGACTCAGAGCCAGTTTCTGTGAACCTGCTGGGCCAGGATGTCTACCTGGCTGATTCAATGCAATTTGTGCTTGAATACTTTCTTCGTTTTCAGGATAACCTACCTGGAACCTATTACATATCTCCCAGCTTTAGAGGAGAAGATCCTGATGCCACACACTTGAACCAGTTCTACCATGTGGAGTGTGAATTACTGGGTGACATGGAAAATGCCATTTCCATAGCAGAGGGATACCTGGCTTATCTCACCAAGTCCATGCTGAAGAAACACTCAGATATTATTCTGAACACTGCTGGAACCCTTACACATGCCAAAGCTATGCTCAGTAAGCTGGATGGAAAAATAGCACTACCAAGAGTCCCTCTGGACCAGGCCATTCCAATGATGCCGTCTGTTGACTGCTTAGAGTGGGTACAAGATGACCAGCCCCATTTGGGCAGAAAACTAACTCGCAAAGGAGAGCGGATTTTGATAGAGAAATATGGTGGTGCTGTTTGGCTTACTGAGATGGACCATCTAGGAGTTCCCTTCTACCAGGCATATGTCAAGGGCACTGGACAGTGCAAAGCCAAAGCTGCTGACCTTTTGCTGGGGCTGGGTGAGACTGTGGGTCTTGGTGAACGCCATTCAACCTCTGAAATGGTACAAGATGCCCTCAGGCATCACGCAGTGCCAGAGCAGTCCTACAAATGGTACATTAAAATGCGGCAAGTGAAACCACTCCTCACTAGTGGATGGGGCATGGGTACAGAGCGGTATTTGTGTTGGTTACTTCAGCATGATGACATCAGAGACATGCATATCATACCAAGGATGAAAGGAATAAAATACATGCCTTGATCATAGGTCCTCCAAATATTTTCAGGCCGCTGGAGGTGACATATTGGTACTCATGAAACCTTAAATCCTAAAATGCCTCAGTAATACCTAAAGTGGAACATGGATTGAGATTTGAGTTCCTTTGATGATTTTATTCTGTCAATGGCCTGAATAATCCCTTTGCATCCTTCATTTCCACCCATCTTCAAATATTTTTAGAATTGCAACACAAAAGGTAAAATCAATGAAAATCAAAATGTTTAATGTAAATAAAACTTTATTCTTGAAATGTATTCATGTTGCTCAAAAAATCTGTTTAGCTCTTAGTGTGGAAGTCATACTATCAATGCAACTGCAAAATAAAAATACATAGCAAGTGTTGTGTAGAATCCAAACTATGTTATAAGACTGTACAACAAGACAACTATTTACGAGGCATAAATTGTAGTAGATAAATTGTAATGAAGTAATAACTTGTTCAGTCTAAAGGCTTAAAGAAAAATATTAAATTAATCATTATTACTCCATAAATGTTGTTTTTAGTTATGCAAGCAATTTCTTTATACTACTCTTCAATATTGTATTTTTTTCCCATTTGTCTCTAAAAGATTTTTGTTAAAATCATGAAGATCGTGTACCATTTCAAGTTTGACTAATAACACATTTTTAAAACAAATATCAGATACCAAACAAATATTAGTCACAATTCTTCACAATTCAGGGCAATGAGGACACCTGGGATCTTTCTGTGTGGAGTTTGCATGTTCTCCGCTTGCAGCGTGGGTTCTCTCCGGGTTCTCCGGCTTCCTCCCACAAGCCTGAAAACATGTTGAGGTTAATTGGTGATTCTAAATTGTCCGTAGGTGTGAATGTGAGTGTGTACTTGGTTGTCTGTCTTCAAGTGTGGCCCTGCGATAGACTGGCAACCTGTCCAGGGTGTCCCCTGCCTTCGCCTTAAGTCAGCTGGGACAGGCTCCAGCGACCCTAGTGAGGATTAAGCAGTGTAAAGATAATGGATGGATGGATGGATTTCTGAATTAGTGACATGGCCAGTATACTAATTCCCAAGAGATTTGGAATTAAGTTATATGATAAGTCAGGAGATGTAGGGTCTTTGACTATTACACAGTTGCCTATGAAGTTGGAATAAAATATTTTTTTACATCTCCTAGGAGGAAATGATTGTGACAACGTGATTTATTCTTGATAGATAAAGAGAAGGTAAAATATCTTCTCAAAATTTTATTGGTATTACAATATAATAATGATAATTGATCAGATTTATATAGCGCTTTTCTAGGCTAGGTTTACTCAAAGACACTTTACACTGTCAATTATTCATTCACACACATTCATTTCGGTGGTGGCAAGCTACGATTGTAGCCACAGCTGCCCTGGCAACAGACTGACAGACATATGGATGCCATTCTGTGCCTATGACCCCTCCGACCACCACATGACATAAAGACATAAATACATACCACAGTAAAAATTAAACCACAATTAACTTTTGCAAACTGTGTATTCAGGCTAAAACAAAATTTGGGCTATTGAAGAATAGGATTAAGGGTTTTCGTTCAGTTTTTCAAACTTGGTCAATTTAACAGGAAACATATATTTGAGGGGATTGCATGCATAAGAATGTCCAACATTACTCAATCAAATGCCACTCAGTCACTATTGTTGAGTATGGCCACCACTGACGTGGATCGATATGTGAAGACATCGTGACATACTGTCCATAAGCTTGTTGATGGTGTTAATGGGTAGGGCTTCCCACTCTTTGGTCAATTCCCAGGGTCAGAATTAATTTCACCTGGGTAACTGGGACTCAGTATGTAATCATTGCACCTGGTCAAACGTGATTACTGATGTGTATAAATGGAAATATAAAGAGGAATTTGTTTGAAAACAAAAATTATTCCAACTTTATAGGCAACAGTGTAGATTTCAAGCTCATTTAAGCACACACACACACACATTCAAATGGTTGCAGTTGAGAATTTTGAGCAGAACAGTGATGACATCAGTTATTTCTGAGCACATACAAGTGTGATGGAAACACAGAGAAACACAAACACACATGCCTATGCACAACCACACACAAATATGTATACATACTGCACATGCAATTCTAAGACAGAACCTTGCTGAGGAGGGGTTGCGTCAAAATGTATCCATGCAAAAATTACCATGGCTTGAATATAATAAAACATTTTTATTATGGTGACTTGCAGTTGGTTTGTTGACATTTCTGCAAGAGTTTTCAACAAGGAATTGCCTAACAGCATATGTATACACCTGTAACCTTGTGAAAAATTCAAGGAGCTATGAAGATGTTCCCCTCCCTAACACACCTAGCAATAGCCTCCAATGCACTTGAAGTTCAACTTTTAAGCCAACCTGAATGAACTTCAGGTTGGTTCTCTCAATTCTTTCAAGTATGTGTAATGGTATATGTGATTTGCATGTGCAGCATTGCACATGCAAAGATTAGCTATTGTTGCTTTTCACTCAGATGTTTCAGAATAACTGGTCAGGAAGTATTTCATCTGGTGGATCAGAAACTATGGGTAGAAATTTGTCCTACCAGAAACTGATCTTGAATTATTTACATTTGAATTTGTATTTGCTCAAGACAACAACAACAACAACAACAATAATATAACAACAATACATTGAATGTATATCATATAATTCAAAATTGTTAAATTTAAACTGTAATTAAAAATTTAATTCTGTTGCTGTGAAATTGTATTTCATCATCCCTGAAAATGTAACTCTCTATATTGAGTTTCCACAATTTAAAGTCAGTTTTGGACATGCAGATTCAGATTCTGTCACACTGTGCCACACTGTCATTAAGGGAGAGATGTCCCGTTTATCGATTCTGTAGAACATAGCACCACATTATCATTCTGCTATAGTGATAAATATAGGGGTGTTATTGTAGCAAAACTATTTGTAAATATATATGGAGAGTTGTGTGTCTGTATCTCAATCTGTAGTGAGATTTGTAAATGTGTAAAATGTGTAAAAGCATACTGAGATTCATCAATGCAAACTGAAATCGGCAAATGCCTTTTTTCAGAATTTGTGTCTGTAATTAGGCTTGTCAATATGTAAAATGATTTTTCAATGCATACAAAGATCTGTAAATGTGCATAAAGATATTAATTGATGAAAAGTGTAAGTATTTGGTTACAAGCGCTGGAAATACAGACAAATCACCAGTTACACTTCTGCCTTGAGAGATGTGTATGAGTATCTCACGGTTTATATGCCCTGAGCTCAGGCTCACAGGCTCATTCATTCTGGCTGTGTACCACTCTGCTGCTTTAGCAGCCACCCTTCATTACCTGGGAGAAACTTTTTCAATTCATAGGATCAGCAATATGTTACTCACCTGTATTTCAATCAATTCGGAGGCCCACTTGAAATGAAATGAAATGAAAAATACTTTATTTATCTCAGAAGGGAAATTCAATAACTTAAACACTTAACTTCTAACTGGAGATTTGTCTGTATTTCCAGCACTTGTTGCCAAATACTTAGACTTATTATCTATTAATATTTTTGTAGGCACCGACAAATCTTTTTATGCATTGGCAAATCTCACTATGCATTGACAAATATTTTTACACATTTACAATTTTACGAAATGTACAAATTTTAAAACAGATTAGCAGATTTTTTACACATTTGAAAGCAATTTTGAAAAGAAATTTGCCAATTCCGGTTTGCACTGACAAATCTCAGTACGCATTTACAAATTCTTTTACACATTTACAAGTCTTACTATGGACTCTCCAAAAACATTTGCAAGTAGTTTTGCAACAATAAAATAACATGAAAGTATAGAGTGGTGTACCAAAAAAAAAATACAATTTGACCTTGCTTTTAAAAGCTTTTAATTCTGATGCTTTAATCAATTTTAATACAGACTATTCAACAAGGATAACAAGAAAAACAAAAGAACATTTTATCTCAGGTCAACATTTTGTTTTTAAATATTAAATAGTTTTTTTCTCAGTCTGATCCCATTTGATCCCAAATGACATAAACCTTTTATCTCCATTTATCTCCATTTATCTCCATTTATCTTCCATTATTTATTACTTCCTGTTTTGACTGAGGGCTGCAGGGTAGCGCAGTTGGTAGCACTGTTGCCTCACAGCTAGAAGGTTGCCAGTTCGCGTCCCGGTGGGGGCACCGCATCTGCATGGAGTTTGCATGTTCTCCCTGTGCAGCGTGGGTTCTCTCCGGGTTCTCCGGCTTCCTCCCACACAGTCCAAAAACATGTTGAGGTTAATTGGTGATTCTAAATTGTCCGTAGGTGTGAATGTGAGTGTGCTTGGTTGTTTGTCTCTAAGTGTGGCCCTGCGATGTACCGGCGACCTGTCCAGGGTGTCCCCTGCCTTCGCCCTAAGTCGGCTGGGATAGGCTCCAGCCCCCCCGCGACCCTAGTGAGGATTGAGCGGTGTATAGATAATGGATGGATAGATGTTTTGACTGAAAGACCAGTTTTAGAAATGTTTAAGCTTAGCTATGTATAATTTTCCATTTTGGCAGTCAGTTGGAACAAAACATAAAAATAAATGGACCACTGCAGTGCATCCCCTGGAAGCATTTGAGGAAAAGAGACGTTTTTTTAAATGATGCACCAAGATCAGTTTCTGGGTTACGGGCTGGAGGACTGAGGATCGAAGATGTAGTATTTCATAAAGTGGTTTGAGTGATTTTTAGGGAAAAAAGTCACAATTTTCCAACTCAAGCATACCAAATGTGAACAGTTGTGGTTGCTTTACTTCCCTATGAAAGTCAATGGAATATCTTTGGGCTGTGGACAAAACAAAACCTTTGAGGCTGTTATTCTGGGCTTCGAGAAACAGTAATCAACATTTTTCACCAATTTCTGGCTTTTTCAAAAACAAAAGAACTAATCTACTAATTCAGAAAATAATCAGCAACTTAATCAGCAATTAAAACTAATGTGACTTGCAGCCCTAGATTACAGGCAATAAAATAGTATTATCTCTGATGTTGAGGCTGTGTTTGGTATGGTTAATATCATTGTTTAGACTGTAATTAAAATAATTTATGGATGATTTTAGGAATAAAATAAAGAAACAATTTTCTTTTGTAATTATCCTAGGTATCCTAGGTAAAATCTTTAAAATATCACATTTATGTATGAAATCAAGTTATTTCAGTGTATTATTATAACATTTCAATTGCGATGTAGGAGCTGTGGTTACTTTGTTAAACTCAAATAATGCAGAATTTCATCTGCCACAATCTCTTTAAAGCAATTTCAGTGGGTAAAAGGTTGGAAAAAAGAAGAAGAGGAAGAAGAAGAAGGCGGCACAGATTTGGCAGTCCTGCTCCCAGCATGTGTTGCATATTCCAGTTGTCCTTCATGAGTCCTTGATGGAGTCAAGGGCTCACGAAGGATACACCTCTGCATCCTTGCTCAAAGCTCCCCAAGTGAAACTTCTGAGACGTCCTTAGTGATGATGTCCCAAGATTAATTTACGGGTCACAGGTGGTTGATGGAGAACTGAGGAGGCAGAAATTAGTGAAATGAGATGAATATTCAACTGTGGTTGTCTTTGGTAAAAGAGTCGTCCCTTCTTCTCCATCCCTGTGAGGAAGAGCAGCACTGATGTCCTCCTCATCATCAATTCCAGTAATAATAATGTTGAACATTAGCTCCCCCTCTTCATAATAGACACTTGTTTTGTGATTTAGACTTCATTGTAAGCTGGGCAACACATGTATTCCAT